CTGCAGGTGTAGGTGTTGTGACTATCCTCCTATCACAGATATGATGTATGATTCTAGATGCCGTATTTATGGACTGGATTTTTCAATCGCGTTTCTTTTTGCAGTTCACCCATTTCACTGGGAACATTCCTTCCTGCTGCCACGTGTCAGTTCACAGGTGACTGGTATTGGTTGGAGCTGGACCAGTCAACATAAGACCTCACGTGTGAGTGGGCTGGGACCCTCCACATTGCATTTCTATCTTCCTACCATTGTCCAGATGTCGGTTCCTGGGGGTACTGATGTTGGTTGTCTTGATTATACACACACATGATGGCTTGGGTTCTTGGAACCAAAGTACTTCTTCCCTTATGGTTCCTGGGTCTGAGCTGAATGGTAGAGGACCCTTCTTCTACCATGGGTTGATTGATCTAATCGGGGTGCTGCACGTTTTGGACTGGAGTTGACCTCCTGCTTATGGTCCAATGCACTCTACACCAATAGCATTTTGTTTTTGGAGGTGCCTTATTTCCGACTATGACACGTTCATTCATCTTGGGTGAGGAGTATACCTGGTTCAGATGTTGTGCAGCCTCCCACATATGTGTTCCTCTCCATTGAGATGTCATACTCCTTAAGTCATCTTCAGATGCTTTCTGGGGGTTGCTTATCTAGGTTATTTCTACAATGGTACATCCACCAGGTCTGTGTGAGTTTCTAGCTGTTGTTTTTTAGAGGTGGTAAGTTATTATATCAGAAATTAATATTTTCCTAAACTGAAAATATATTTCTGATAGATACTTACCTTTTCTCACACTACCCATTCATCTTTCCCACTTACAGTTTTTTTTTTTTCATGCTGATTTTTGATGTGAAGATTGGGTTCTACTGCATAGAGGGAGTCAGTAGTGACAGGAGAGTGTGTTGCACTTCTATTGGTGGAGGGTTGTCGCATGCTTATTTGCATGCTACAACACAGCTGTACCATGTGGATATTAGTTGGAGTATAAACGCTAATGGTGGGTGAAAATTTTGTGCATAGAGGGCAGTACAAATTGAGGAAAGCTGTTTTGTAAGAGGAGGTAAGTATCTATCAGAAATATATTTCAGTTTAGGAAACTATTAATTTTTGTGAAACTTATTTTGTGTAATTTGTAAAGAAAACTAGGAGATAACTTCAAACTGTCATTTCTGTGAAGCTCTGAAGAATCTCACCTGTAAGCACCTCAATTATTAACTTTGTTTAGACTTTTCTTCCCATTGAAAAGCATAGGTTTATACGTGCTAAGAAATTATTATTATTTGTGAATGTAATTATTCATGACTTGTTTTTCATGTTATTTTCTTTCACAGTTTCATTATTATTACTGCCCTTTGTTCACACCCTTTTATGTTACAGCATGTGGCCTGAATAATTACTAATGAAGCACAGGTTTTAAATAATCACAGACAGAATTTAAATATCATTGGATTAAGCAGATTACAAACTAGTTATGTCAGTGTAGAGTAAGTTTATTTATGTGACCAGTAACATGATTTTGTGGAAAACTGACTAGGTGGAGCTTCTTCAAGGATGAACTACAAAATCTAGTGGGAAGTTTAGAAGACTTAGAAAGATACATAATGGAAGATTGGGGAATTTCTATATAGTTTCTTTAGACATTGTTTTCATTAGAGAAGATGATTTTGTGCTAAATTGTATCTGTTTGAAAACTGGAGATTTTCTCATATGACATCAAATAAACTTAGTTAGGTTCAGTAAGTATGGTAGGCAAATGCAAGATATTCCAGTTACTCAAATCCTTATTTATTGAATGGTATGGTTAAGGTTAGCTTATCCAAACAGTGTATATAAATTTGATAACTTGTTATTTACTAAAAATAATTTAAATTGATTCGATATAAATTGTTATAAAAAAAATGTTGTTATTTAGCCTGATAAAAGTAGTAGTGATTTTGTTGTGAAAAGGTCAGGTCATAGGGCACTGATAAAATCTTCATCAGTTTTGGTGTTTTTATTACTTGTAGCCAGAAGTAATGAATACTGCAATTGGAAAAATAGTGTAAAAAAAAAATATGTTGATGAATATCAATCAAGTTGAAACTGACTGGATTTATAAAGCATAACTTTGTGATAAAAAAAAAAAAAATGAAATTCTAAACATTTTTGAAATTTCACAATAAAAATCAGTATATGAAATTTTCTAGACTAAAATTAGATATAGTTTAGTAAGAATGTATACAATTTTCTTGCAGTTTGGTTAAAAATTGTCTACTGTGAGAAGGAAAGAAACAAGGGATATCGATGATTCTTCCAGTGAAAAAAATTTTAATCAATGTATTTAGAGCTTTACCTCTCATTCTATTGTATAACCTGTATAAGTGAAGCTCATCTTTAGCATATTTATATATAACTAGCAGAAACTACACCTTACGTGTGGCTGTTCTGTCAGGATCTTGGCAAGTTTAATGATGCACTTCTCTGTCACAAAATTGCTCGTGACTTCTAACTGCATCTTGGTAGCAATTTGATGTGCTTCTGTAATTCGGGTTTTTTCCTGGCTTCTCCCTGGATCTTGCTTCATAATTTGGTGAGCAAGCTATCTCTTTCTTTCTGTAGCTTCCATTTTGACATTTCATTTTCTCTCCCAAAATTTCGGACTTTCTCCAGATAAATCACCTTTCCATTTAGCAATTTTTGGCATTGAGATTTTCAATGTTTTTTTTTATCACCTTAAGCTCATACTGAAGTTAAAAAAATACTTGGGTAATTTACGAAGATTGAGTTTGTTGTGCATACAAGACTGTTCTGTTTAAGAGCTATTATTTAGTTTATTTAATGTTTAATGATTATTTAATTTTTATAACAAGAGTGTTAAAAGTTAATTATTTTAAGAGATAGTTATGACAAGTTTCTTTACGTATCTCTATATGAGTATTTAGTGTAATTGTTTTACTAGGCTTTTATAATATAATTGACGTCATCTTACTTGGAGCTTCTAAGTTTTCCTCGTTATATGTCATGTTGTTACTAGAGGGCTAGATATTTCTAGATTTTTCTGTTGCATGTTATAAATACATGCAGATACAGAAAGAACAGGGTTGCTACAGGTCAGAGAAAAGTCAGCAAAAAATGAAAATCCAGAAAATGGTTAGGGAAAAATGAAAATTTTTGGGAAAGTCAAGGAAAATGTGTTATGTTCTAATGACTTAACAGAAATGAAAAGCAAAAAAATTCATAAAACAAATTGAAAATGGCTGTGGCAATCTTTCGTGCTCTCACTTTGAAACAAATTTTATTCTGGAGTAGAATGGGAATGAATAAGAAAATATGTTATAAAATAAGGTCCTTTTTTTAATTTTAGCAAGTGTCATCGTGTTTGTTGACTCACATTCAAAATTTTATTGAACTACTGTTTCATAAATTTATGTCAATAAGTTTGGTATCAAACTGTAGATTATAATACAATCTTTAGTATTATACGTTATGTAATTTCTTAATTTAAAAGTAAATGTTAAAAAACACAGTTAAACATTGATTTTTGTGTGTCACATGATATGTTGAATGCAGCACTGGTTCAAATTAGATGTGTGTGAAGTCAAAATACTAATTATAGTTTTGTATGAATTAGGAACTCAAATTACCAATATTGACAAGCTAGATTATAAAATAAGAACCTCATATCTTTTCTATTGCTGAGATATCTCTCGTGCTGAATCAAACACAGTGGCCCTGCTCACCTCTTTTCAATTTTGGAAATGGTCCCTCATATACACTTACTTCAATATATGACATGTGAATAACCGATCAAAAGTTCAGAATGTCCCCCTAGTGGTTTTCTCAGCCATTTTCATGTGTTAGGATGCCATCTTGTTCTTTCAAACCAAGATTTCAAGGAGGTAGGTTGTGTCTTTAGTCTGCTCGAAATTTCATATGTTTTACACCCAGATACAGTTTAGCTACTAAGCTTGATAAATTATAATGGAATTTTCTATGGTATGAATATAGTAATTTATTTTTGTTTGGGTTTTCGACTATATATATATATTAAAAGGCTTAGCAACCTATG